TGTTGTTGTTGTTGCTGTTGTTGTTTTGGGGGACAGTTCATTGTTGTTGTTGTATGTTTGTACATTCATCACGGTTCCTTTGTCTCCGGTAAAGAACCTACTCCACTTTAAATAAACTTTTATTTAATTGTTGTTTCTTTGACTTCCATTTCTGTAATCACATCTTTAGTTGCATTTTCTGTTAAGAAATCTTGAGACCATCATTCCCACCGCCTGTTTGAAACTTATAATTACGTTTTGTCCAAAGTAAGAATAAAAATTAATTAAAGAAAGATTATTTTCTCGATTATTTTGGTGGGTCAACATTCAACAAGAATTCAATATTTGTTTTCATTAATTTTTCAGGGCTGCCACCTCATATAACAAGTTCCGTTTTTTAAAATTATGTTCATGTTGTGAGAAAGCTTGTCGTGTGTGGCCATAATCTGTATCTGGGTCTTTGTTTCACATTGATTACCCTATTAAACAAGTCAGCCTTCGCCCATGTCAATAATATAATAAAAAATCAGAAAGCACAAAAGGCCGTATCTCGATATTTCACTCAGAACGGTTGGGGGGGGGGGGGGTGTTTGTTTTTTTTTTTTTTTGGGGGGGGGGGGGTTATAATCAATGAGCAGCGCTAACGCGTTACTTAATTAAGATAAGGGAGTAATATACACTTAAAAGGCACCACACCAAAAAAAACATATCTAGGGAAATCAGATCAGGTGGCTCGTTTATTTTATTTATTTTTAAAAATTAATTCGGCCTTTTCAGACAGCCTGTTTTTCGCCTCAATCGCTACAACAGAATTTGCCTCATCGCCATCTTGCTCGTCTATTTTCGGAAAAACTCAACTCCAGCTCCAACTGGACAGGGGCGCTTTGAAAGGCTGGCGGTAAAGAACCACCGACAGGAGGATGAACGTGGGTGTGTGAGAGGATCCTCCCGGAAACATCGATTCTCGCTGGTTCATTATGGTTTTTAACACTCTGGTCTGATCAAGGGGTTTTCCTTTTCCTTGATAAATTGTCAGTGTCTATCAATGGGCACTGCTTTTTTTTTTTGGTGCTTCTTTCTTTTTTCAATCCTTTTAATGGGAAGTGGACCTCTAATACAGACATAGAACACTATCGAACAGTTTAGCCTCCCCCCC